TGTCTTTAAGTTTTTTGTTTGTTTGTTTGTTTTGTTTCGGTAAAAAGCACCCATGCTCACTACACCATCCATAAATAAAGACAATTTCTGAGCTTGAAGTAAAATTGTGTTTAAAAGTTCCAGATGATGAAAATCCACTTTAATTGTGTTTTGTGCTGAGAAACTTGGAGGTGTAAAATAAAAGCTGTTGAGATATGTGGAGGAACCAGGTGCCATGTTTTCAGCTTAAACTGTGGTTGACACCTCTGGCTGTTAATCACAAATGCAGATGGTGGGTTTTTCCTGAACTGGGTGGGGACAGTAGAATGAAAAGTAAACTAACACTGACAGTGATCATATAATACAGTGGTAGGACATAACAAATATTAGACAGATGATGCAGCTGTTCCACATGTCATATTTAATTGATATTCCTTTAAAGTAACATCTTTCAAGCTGAGTGTCTCATTTTGCTAAATACCTGCTCCCACAGCTCCTCTCCTGTTGTGCTGCTTCCTCTGCTGACATCTCTGGTGGGATATGAAGCGGACAACTGAGGACATACAAACTAGGAAATGATGGGACAGTCAGGGTAAAATGAACTATATGTGCAGTATTTTGAGCTGAAACACTAAACTGTGTGGGCATGTGAGACTTTGATTCATTTTCTGAAAAAGGGGGAAGCGTATAGGACCTTTGACAAATGATGTTAAACTAGCAGGTAGAGGACAGCAAACAGGTTTTTGTAATTACTACACAGACACTCTTTTGATATCGCCTCAAGTTCAGTCATAGCAAAAATAAAAAAAGTAAAAAATTTAATCTAAAACTAAGGCTTACCACCCAAGCCCAACATGGACACAGTAACATTTAATCTAAATGCTTTTTTAACTTTTCAAACTGTAAGCGTTTATTCTTGTCGTTATTAACCTGAGTCGAGCTACCTTTATTTTGAAAACCCGCCTTTATTGTGAAGCCTCATGCGGAAACAGGAACTTGCTACACTGCGCGGCACACACAGTGCTGTTTGACAGAAACTACATCCAGCTGGCTCTCCACTCATTTTCCTCATGAGCGAATTGGAACAAGCAGCAAGCTGAAGGTAACGTTCACTCGTGTTGTTTCCCTTCAGCAGTCCAGCGGGAGCTTTGTCTCAGTTTCTAGTTTCTAATTTGCGTTTCCAGTCCCTGCAGCGCGTGGCCCTATTTTAGCTAGTGAACACCACCGTTACCTGTGAGCAGCTAACGTGAGTGACAGGAGGCAGCAACTTTCTCCTCATTGCTCGTACATACAACAAACGCTGCTAACTGCTCACAGGCTCCAGGCGTTAGCTGCTCTATTAGTTATTTAAAGTGTACTTTATCTCCCGCTAAGCCCCAGCCGGCTTTTCAACATATGCTAGCCGGCTAGCTGTCACTGTCGGTATGTGGCTAGGTTCAGTTACAGTTTTGTTAGCAGACCCAAGTTGAATGGAAATGGATTAAATTCGTGTTTGGACATTTTAAAAGATAAGATGCTGTGGTTTCCTCCTCTGCTGGGGTTACACTGGTGTGTGAGATGAGGGAGTCACTGTTGGGGGCATAATGTAGTTAGCTAAAGCTAGGGAAGAAATAGTTTAAGACCTAGCCAAAGTGTAAGTCATCTGCCCAACCAGCTGCTGTTTGTTCATAAACTGTGTAGCTGTAACATGGGATGCAGGTTAGTGGGAAGCCTACAGGTGTTTTCATATCTAAAGGCTGATCAGATGTCTGCTCAGGTTGAAGGTGCTGCTGAGAATTAGAGGAAGACAATAAAGAGGAACAGGGTGTTTGATCAGCCCAAGTGACACCTAGTGACTTTCAGGCTGAGGACCTTTCATCCTTTTTTTTTAAAAAAATAAACAAAAACTTTTGACAGGAAGGAGTCATGCCAAAAATGTAGGTAAAAAAGTAACCTTTCATATACTATGTCTTATATGACTCTTCAAATTTCCCCAAAATGCTTTTTTTCCCCACTCTGCTGAATTATGAGCGAACAGAAAACACATCCAGGGTACCAATGTTTGCTCCCATCACATAATATTGATGCTCAAAGTTGGTTAAAGGAAAAAAAATGTGAATGTAAAACTGATTTCTTTGCAGTTTTTCTTTTTACAGAGCTTAAATGTGTTTTTCAGTCGTGAGCATTTCATGTGTCAGCCTCCGTTACATATGAAGTTACAATGGATAAAAGCAAATTAAAAAGGGTGAAATTTCAACCCACCTGTGTATGTCAAGCTGATGTAACTTATAATATGAAGGTAAAGTTTTGTATGACTTCACTACATATACTAAAGTTATAGTACATAAAATCCAGTTCATTCTCAGTGGGTCACATTGGAACTTTTTTGGTTTGATTTTTATGGAACCTGAACAGCCCCAAAATGCAGACACTAAACAAAGATGCCAAGACCAACAAAAATCACGATGATGTCCCAATTTTGTATTTCAATGTGATTGCTAACCTCAATTCACAAGGAGTGTTTGTGTTCTCCGCCACAATCGTACAACAAACTTCGCTGTTGTAATGATGTTCAAGCCAGCATAGCATCTGAAAGATTTGGAGACACTGCCGTCAGGCAGGATGATGGTTTGTGTTTCTGAAATATGGAATCATAAAGGAACCGGCGCTCAAAATGTTCAGAGTTCTCAGTTTGAAATATGTGACCGTATTGTTCTTTCATTAGCTGTGTGAGGATGGGATCAGGGTGACATCATGGGTCAGACAAACAAGGACAGGCTTATTGCAAAAGTAGGCCATTGTCTCGAGTCACACTGCAAAGTCCTAATCTGTAGACAGCCGATCAGTGGCCTCAGAGTTAGAAGCAGTTTATCATCTCGCTTTTCAGCAGCATGAAAGTTGGGAGAACTTTCTGAAATTGCAATTTATGTTAGCCTTTTAACATAGGTCGGTTCAGTCATTTAAATTAATGAAATGTAGTTTCCACTGCCTGTGTATTCTTAGTCTGTAATCCCTTTTAAATGCAAAACTATTAGTTAGCATTTTCCAGTTTTCCTTACAGATGGAATGGAAAATAAATTGCCAACAGTTACATGTCGTCTTTAAAATGTCTCGACAGCTCTTGCTATCTGTGATTCTGTAATTGATGTGGGGAAATAACCTGTTCACTGAATGCTTTCTGCTTGAGTCTCTTGGTTAAAATCTGGACTATGACATCCTGAAGTCTGATCACTAATTACACTATCATGCAGGCTACAAGGAAGCACAAAAAAACTGAACTTGCCCTGGATTTCACTTAAAAATTGTCCAAGTTGCATTGGTGTATAGATTTTATTTTGAATTCCTGCAAGTTTTAGTTGTATTATCTATGTCTTACACTGTTAAAGCTAATCCTCAGTCACAAGTTTTACCTGAGAATAGATCATAAAGCCTCAATAGCAGCTACCGGGGTATGACAGTGAACATTAATTTGCAGAATGTAAACATATTCACATGAGGAAATAATCATCCCAACGTGTGTAAAGGAAATAGTTTATGCACTGACATATCCTCTTTAATGTGATTTTTAACATGAAACACCTCTTAATTTTACTTGCAAAAAATCTCATATGAGCTTCAATTAAACTTCACTCAGAATAACAACTTTCTAACTCTCTTTTGTGATAGCATTTTTTGTTAGGCCTTTTGTGTGCAAAATCAAATCTAAAATCGGAGCTGCAATAACCTAGATGTTTGTAGTAACATTAGTACTAAGTCTCTTCTAGCTGCTTTAGTTTCAGAGTTCTTGTACACATCAGCTGTCATGCTTCTTTCTGACACTTGAAGAAAATTGGAGTCATAATTAATATTTGGTGATGCCTTCTATCACACAATACTTTTCATCTTGCAGTATTTTACAAATATATGTATTTCTCTGTTAGTTTGTCATGTGTCACCCCATAGTATAGGTGAGTTTTTTCCTTTTCTTTTCCCCGAATGGAGAAAGATAAATGTGTAGAAGCCAGCGACATCCTCTCCAGCAGCTGGTAGGGAATCCGTCTCTTCCCTATGGGTGCTTTAGCCGTGTGGATAGTTGCTGTTGAGGTGATTTGGTCTTTATGGTGAAGGACAGTCCTCCTAATCACAGCCACCACTTTGCTGCCCTTTCGCTCTGTGTTTATTTGCACTGTCACCCTACAGCCACATTCTCTGCATTGTAGGTCTTAAGGTTGGCTAGTCGTGGGGTCAGCGGTGCACGCGCCTTGAAAGTGAGAGTGACACTCCAGCCGAAAAGAGTCAGAAGTGAGAATGCCGTAGCTTGAAAGTGTGCAGGCTGTAAATAGTAACTGGACCTGGGAGTCGGGGGATCAGCAGGGTATAATCAGAGAGAGTGGGTGTGCTTTTGGAGATTGAGGAGGGGACAGGCAATGCACTTGGGAGTTATTTTGGGAAGGATTTTGGTTAGATGTTCTGCTGGACCCAGTCTGTGTCTCTTGATTTTAGCTTAGCTGGACTGGGAGACTCTCATGGAGATCAACAAGAAAGAGGATATCGGAGAAGATGACAGTGAGTGTTGGTTGGTTGGTTGGCAAGATTTTAGGCTCAGTGTAGCTTTTCCAGGCTTAGGCCTGTGTATGTATGTGTGTGTGTGTATGTGTGTGTGTGTGTGTGTGTGTGCTTCTAGTTCAGCTTCTTGTGGGTTATTCCTTTTTTACAGCCTCCTGTGTTTCTTTTACAAAGTCAGTATTTCAAGATGAAGCTAGTAGTTTAGCATAAGATCACAATAAACCTCTACCTGTGTCTTAAACTCTGCTGCAAGAAAACTAAAATCCCTTACTTAAGCTTTGTTTTCAGGAAGTAGAAGTTTAGAGTTCTGACTGAAATTTACATGTTCTTAATATTTAGTGTAATTCTGTATCTCACGTAGGGCTGGGCGATATCAGGAAAATATCCAGTTGAAATCTTTGTGACGGATATTGTTATTTGATCTGTGAATTAAAAAAAAACAAAACAAAACAAACGTGCTTCAGTTGAATATTCACTGCCTAACTAAAGCCTAAATTAAAGCATGTCATGGAGCCTTGCACACGTGAGATACCACCCGATTGTTAGATGTTTTATAATGAGTGTGAGAACTTGAAAATATGAATTGTCTCCAACTTGTATTTGTTGTTTTTAATTGAAATAGAACATTGAACAATTATTACAGAAGCTGTGATTAAGTTATAAATACATAAATCAGTAATTAAAAACATTACAAACTAAAGGTTCTCTGGCATTGAAATTCAAATGTGGACCAGAAGCAGCATCTAAACAATCTATACACTGTCAAATTGGGCTGATTCTAACGGTGAGCATGATTGAATGGTAAATGGTCCACAATTTCTAGCACCTTTCACTTTAGCTAGTTTCTACACAGCACTACTCAGTGGGTTTCTCATTTAGCCATTCACACATGTATACTCATACACTAATGGCAGCAAAGCAACCATGGTACTTGCCTGTCAGATCAGGGACTTTGGCTGTATGGAGGGGCCAAGGATCGAACTGCCAACCTTGAAATCCTTGGACAACTCACTCGTCCACCTGAGCCACAGCAGTAAGCCTGGATTTGTAACACCATTGATGGTTTAAACCCTTAATGAGACCCGATGTGAAGAGTGCATATCCAGAATTACAACCTGTCCGATTTGCTAATTGTGTTTTCAATTTGAAATTGATTAATCGGTCAGTCTTAAATGATCTTATTGATTAGTTGTGTCTTTCCTATAATCTTTAGCCATTTGCAGTGGACAATCGACGTTAAACAAGATCTGATTGAGTAGATGACAGTGTAGACTTTCAGCTGTAATTCAAGGGTTTCAACAAAAATATGGCATCAACCATTAAGGAACTGCAGACATTTTTGCACAGTCCCTACATTTATCGCAAGTAATTTGGTAATTTACTAGTAAATACTTTCATGACCAAATGTAGCCAATTTCCAAATAGTTCCATGTGGAGTTAAAGAAAACAACGGTGTAGTGATGATTCCAAGGGGTGAATTGGCATTTAGCTGTTCTTGGGAACTCTTAATGTTCAGTCCAGAGTGGTGGTTCAAGTGAAGTATTCCATTGTTATGCTGAAAAAGGAAAACTGACCGATCAGAGGGATAGCAGAACCTTAAGAGAGGCCAGATTACAAATCTTGTGCATTCCTAAAACGTTTAGCAACACCAAAGGGCCCGAAAGACTAAGACAAGTGAAGTGGATGATCACAGAATTTGTATCAAAGTTCACAATCAAGAGAGTTTTGATTTTAGAGCTTCACGAGTTTACATACAGAGAGTTTACCACAAGATCCTAATCACTGGTGAAACTCAGAAACAGAAAGTTCAGGTTAGACTTTGCCAGAAAACATTTACAACATTCTGCCCAGTTCTTGGAAGAAGATTCTTTGGACAGATGAAACCAAGATGAGCTTGTAGCAGAATAATTGGAGGAGAAGAGTTTGAAGAAGTAAAGGAAGGGCTCTTACATTATCAATCAAACACGGTGGAGTGTTATGACATGAGCACTCATAGCGGTCAGTGGAAATGGTTCACTGGTGGTTATCAATGATGATACTGCTGATAGAAGTAGCAGGATGAATTCTGAACTGTGCAAAGCTTGATTTTTGCTGAAATTCAGTCAGATACTGCAAAACTGGTAGGATGGCACTTCACATTGCAGATGGATAATGTCTGAAAATTGAGCATAAAGGCAACCCAGAAGCATATTCAGGCAAAGAAATGGAATGTTCTTAAATGACAGTCAGTCACCTAACCTCAACCCAGCTGAACTGCTTTTTATTTACTGAAGACAAAACTGAGGGCAGAAAGACTCACAAACTGAAAGCAGCTGCAGTAAAGCATCTCAAGGGAGGAAACTCAACATTTGGTCATGTCCATGGGTTCCTTACTCCAGGCACTCATTGGCTACAAGGATTTGCATCCAAGTATGAAAAATAATCCTTATATTTCTAATGAATGCAATTTGGGCAGACTAATGCCTGTAGGTCCTAAACGGTTGATGCATTTTTCTGTTAAACTCTGTGAATGAAAGCGGAACTTGTAAAACTCAATTAAATCTTGATGTATTCGTTTCAAATCCATTTGTGGTGGTGTACAGAAGCAAAATTCCAAAAATCGTGTCACTGTCTAGACACTTAGACCCCTGGCTGTGGTCCTATACCAGGGGTGTCCAATCCTGGTCCTCGAGGGCCACAGTCCTGCATGTTTTAGATGTTTCTCTCTTCTAACACACCTGATTCAAACGATCAGCTCATCATTAAGCTCTTCAGAAGCCTGGTAACGATCCTGCTCATTTGAATCAGGTGTGTTGGAAGAGGGAAACATCTAAAACATGCAGGATTGTGGCCCTCGAGGACCAGGATTGGATACCCTTGTTCTATACCATACTGCACATGGTCACACATTATTTTGTGTAAATGCCAGAGAGCTCAAAATACCACTTGATTTGCAGTATGTTAATTCTACAGGTCTTATTATCTTGTACTGAGCATACAGGGTTCAGTTTCTAGTAATGCATTTCCATTTTTCATTGCACTCCAACTGAAAGTTTCAGTGTAGCCTTTATTGAGAGATTAGACCTACTTGTGTTCTCAGAATAGGCTTTCTAATATTGTTCCAGCCACCGGCCCTGAGGGGGAGATGACAAAGGAGGATGTTTCAGAGCCTGCTGAAGGGGACACTGTCCTGGGCTGCCACACAAGACTCACTTCTCATCAGCGGCCAGTTATCCACCAGGTGGCCTCTGCACCGATGCCCAGTGACTGTGGTGAGGATCCACACATGCACACATTCAGTACCTGCACTCGGTGTGACATTTCAGGCGAGTTAACACACTCGCTGTGAAAAGACTGAATACGAGTAGCTCTATAACTGGAATTTGAAAAAGGCTTCCACTGTGTGTCTGATCATGCGCTTGAAGTAATGATCAATTGATGACACATACATTTTTTATTAGTGAGTTATGATCACTGAACACTTGATAATTGCAGTATTCAAAATGAATTGGTCGTAGTCACATCTGAGATAATGATGATGATTCTGACTAGGCGATGCATGATATTAGATTTCGCAGATATCAGACAAGCTATTTCCTGACTCATTTTTGCCAATTGCTGGTACCGATATGTACATGTATTTTTTCCCACTTACTTGCAGACAACATTTAGTCTTTTGTAGTGGAATTAACAGGATGTCCTTGCTTAATATCGTGGTGATGACCCATCAGCAGATGTAGACATAAAACAATGCTTTTCAAACGTACACTTCAGTGGGGAAAAAAGCAAACTAAGCGATTTACGTAAAAAATTCCATAATTTTTTTAGTCTGACAGGTGTTATGTGTCATACAGTGTTCATTTTAAAGCCTTTAACAGCTTAGTTTAAGTGATGCCAATGACACATTTCAGATTTTAAATAAGAAGTGAACTTGTTAGTTACGGTTTGAGTTTATTTTTAACTCATGTAGCTATGTATTGCAAAACAAGAAACATATTCATTTTGCAACTGGATGGCATGCTGATGGTCATTCCACAACATAATTTATTAAAGCATGTGGCCATTAGTCACCATAAAGGCCTCTTAAACTGGGTCCCCTCATTATCAGTAAAGCAAATGCAGCAGGTTTGATGCTGCTTAAATTATACAGTAAGTGTTAACCTCAGCCTTCGACATTGAATGCCATTTGATTTCAGTCTCAGTTGGGTTCTCTAATGCTTCATTTGGTTCATGGCATGCCAACCACTGTCACATCTGATTTCATTTGCCTCTGCAAGCACAGCAAGGGCATTTCCCAAGATTAGTAATTTGACTGAATCGATTGAGCATACTGTTGCAGAAAGTTAATGTATGTCTGTGCTGCAGGGATTCACAAGTGCTCTTTTCACATACACATGCAGGAGAAAAAGGAACACAAAGCCTAAGATTCCCTGTTCCCCTAATCATTACAGTTAACATGTGTTGTTTTTGTCTCTCACCACCTCCAGAGTTCTCCTTCTTTGACCCAAGTGAGCCGCAGTGCAGGGAGGTTCTTCTGGATCCCAGCACTACCATACCAGAGCTGTTTGCTGTCCTCAGGCAGTGGGTGCCCCAGGTTCAGAAGAACATCAGTCTCATTGGCAATGAGGTGACACAATTCAGATATTTTTAACTGTCCATATGCTTGGATACAGCTTAGTTGCATTGCTTCAGTACAATCCCCTCTCTATACTTTAATTCTTTTTGTTTTCATCATAGCCATAATATCATAATGGAAAACACTAGAATACCTAAGAATAAAATAAAACTCAGTTTTGTTTGTTAACGAATGCCCTGCTAATCCACTCCCAAACCACCTCTACCCAGAGTTACACAGAGTAGCTGCAATGCAGTAAATTGTGCAGGGAAGCACTCATCTCAAGGGTAAAAGCAGGCGATTATTTTCTCTCACTTAGTAACTGCTACCCTTGAGAAATAAATGCCTCGTTTCGATGTCAGTTTGCGCAACAATTCTTGTCCAAATTTAAAGATGAGTAGAGTTATGAGAGACCCAGCTTGCTTGTCATTCATCAGATCAATGCCCCCGTGTTTCACTTTATAGCCTATTATGTAATATTTCTGCGCAGTGACACCAGGTCCTTAGTGGCACACTGCATATCTTGTCTTTGCACAGATCCTAAAGAGAGGCTGTGGTGTGAACGATCGAGATGGGCTGACAGATATGAGCCTCCTGCACTACTGCTGCAAGGCTGGGGCTCCAGGCATCGGTTAGTATTAACATGGGTGATAAACGAACACACGTGTTTGTTAGTTTATACACACATACATATACTTCTCCTATATCCACCAGGTGATGCAGAGACAGCAGCCAGCTTTGCCCACCAGCTTCTTGCCTTGGGTGCTGATCCCAATCTTCGCTCGCGTTGGACTAACATGAGGGCCCTGCACTACGCTGCCTACTTTGACGTTCCCCAACTTATCCGTGTGGTGCTACAGGCCTCCCAGCCTGGAGGTGAGAGCAGAGCTGCAAACAGAGAGGACAGAGCGACGGTCACCGCAGCAGTCAGTCTAGGGCAAACATTTCTGTTTTCAAGCCCAACTGCAGATTAAAGCCTAAGTCATTTATCTTTTTTCTGTCGTAAACATACTGAGTTGTCAGTTTATTAAGTTCACCCACTGTCACTACATTCAATGCAATCAAATGAAACATTCTGTTTTGTGGAGGCTGTACTTTGTTGTGCTGCTGTATTATGTGGTAGGTTTGTATACATTTTGTCACCACCTTTTCCATCAGTGGATTGCTCTGCATATAGTTAGATGTAAATGCTGGCAGCTCATTTTGTAGACAATGATTTTGCAGTATAGTTAGACTTAGACAGTGGCAGAAGGAATTTACTGCACATTGATTACATTTTTCTTGATTATCACTCATTTCACACAGTCCAATTTCTGAAAATAACTACTCAGCAGATAAAACCTTATTGATGGAGCTGGAAGGAAGAAATGATAATAGGAAAAGCATTGTACACTGCAGTCAGTCGCAGAGAAGGTCCTTGACTGAAATCATGCCTCAGTAAGTGAATATTGCACAGACTGGAGTCTATGGGTGGTTCTCATATCATCAGACTTTAGTTTAAACAAATTACTGCACAGCATACAAAGCGCTTTAGGTACATTTTAAGCTAATGCTTAACGTTTAGTTTTGGTAATTTATTAGTAGACCGTATGTATTGATATTTTTTTTTTTGCTGGCACTTTGAAATTTTTGTTTGAGATGATATTTTGGATCTTATGTTGTAGTTCTCTGTTAAACTCTGGTTCCTGACCTAGTCATGTAGTCTACATAGGTTTAAATGGAAATCTCAGTTACGGGATTTGTGTCAATGTTGTCAACTTGTTATGTTCAATACTACATCAATACTATTTTTTCTTCTGCAGTTTAACATTGTACATCAAAATCCCGTATTTGATAACAGAAGAATAGTGTTCTTTGTAAGATAAAATCATTCCTCTCTAATTATATCTAAGTGGTTGTTTGCTATGATTATTGACTGTGAGAGCTGAGATCACAGAACATGTGAAAATTGGCAAAATTACACGTTTTGATTTTACTAGATCTGTGGTGTAACTGTACAGCAAGAGGTTATGACCCTGAGTAGTCCTGGCATGTGTATATAAATACAGTTTTGGACTGCCAGTGTCCCTGATAGCAGCTGCCAGATGCTGTAGAAATGACTCAACAATGCACCTGAGGCCTTTTCCCAGGTCTCCTGTGCTATCTGCATGACTGATGTCTTTTGACATTTGTTCATGTTTCAGTTTTAGGGGGCTCTGGCTTTTGTACACCAGAATTAAGTTTGCAGCCTCTGTAAACCTTATCCCCTTGTATTGTCCTTCTTTCGTGTTAACCTAGGTCTCCTATGTTGTCCACTCACTATACACCTTTTAGATGTCTGTTTTCACAGGCTTAAACCTTCCTAGCACCCACTGTTATGCCAGATCAATTCTGAAAAACAAAACAAATCCTGTATGCCTCTTCTCAGCAATCTTCTCAAACACAAAATGTGATGATGTTGCATGTACCTGTTACAGATGCTGTATGTAAGGAATTTATTTTAGTTCAGTTGCTGCTAACCAGCTGGCTCAAGGCCATGCCATCTAATGTTTACTTACCTCCAGGCTGGCTAGGTGCTTGTTGTGGCGATCCTCAATGTCATTCATATGGACTCCCACTCCACCATCTTGGGCTGCAGGTGACAATAGTAGCCCTTGTCCTGTTCTCCTGGAGGTTGGATGTGAGCTTGAGGGCCACTCCAACCAGGAAAAAAAAAAACATGTAGCAGGTAGAGAACTGCTTCAGGTGCTGCTAGGCCAAGCTCACCAGATTGCAGAGCAGAACAAGGATGCCGTAAAGTCCACCAGGATGAGACAGCTAAATGCTGTCACTTGCTGCAGTCCAGGACAGGGGAGTTGGAATCGGCCCGTGAAGTGGAGGCCTCACTGGAGAAGCAGCTGAATGATGCTGAGGACTGCCAAAACGGTGACCTGGCTAGCCTGCATGTAGAGAAACAAGACACTGGACAGGCCAGGGCTGGCTGGTTAACAGCAAATACTTAAGCCTTTAATATAGCAATAATTAAAGGCCCCTTTGTGTTAGGAGAGGGATTTCTCTTTTTTAAGCCACTAAATGTACATAATGGCCAACAATGGTTAAATTCAGTGTCTTAACTGATAATAGAAAATTATGAAATATACTATCAGGTGTCAGTTAATGCTTAACAATCTCATGCAACTTATGAAACTTGCATATGAAAAAAATTGTTTTAAAATACCAACCTGTCCCTGAAGATTTTTTTTTTGGTTTTGTTTTAGATGTTGATGCCACTTGCAGTGACTTTGATTTTGGCACAGCCCTTCACATCGCTGCATCTAACCTGTGCACAACGGCTGTCAAATGTCTCTTGGAGCTGGGAGCCAATCCTGCTTTCAGAGTAAGTGTCATTGTTCCTTTACATATGCTCACACACCAGAAGACTTGCTGTTTGTCTTGTTAGTTTAAAAAAAATGCATGTCTTTCATTAAAACAATGTATTTAGGGCTCCAAACATCCCAGATCTCTTGATTCAGCTTCAATTCACGAAGACTAGAATTGAATGCTGATAAGTAACATCAGATGAACACAGTGATGAAGAATAAGGACCTAACATGGGAACTTCAGTGTGTTTTACACTCAGCGAGCAACACTGTTGTTTTCCTGGTTAGAAAATAATGTTAACTCTTGACCAATACTTTTTATTTTTGGTCAATTTAAAAAGACTGAAATATAACACATGCAAAACAGATGAGCAGAAGTGATAATTATAAAAGAACTGAACTGCTGGCAAAGGCAACATCATTTTGCACATTTTACAGAATAAATCCTATCCCTTATAGCTTCCCATGGACTGTCAGTACGAGATGCACCACCTAAGTAGAAGCTTTAATGATCACATTTAGCACAGACGGGATTGAAACGGAAATTCTGCTTACTAATAGACCTTTTTCATGGCAGACAGCTTTGTCATAGCAGGAAAAGCCCAGATGTATTTATGATGGCTGCATTCCACTCAGGGAAGGTTCCACTGTTGTGCATGGTTCACTGTCACAGCTTACTGGGGCACTTAATGTAACTGAGTCTTCATTAATGTTATTGATTACACTCACTCGGCTATTTTCGCTGTGTCAAGTGAAAATGGCTATCCATCTGCGCTCAGGTGCAGCTGGTGCAAAAAATATTTTGGAGGGAGCACAGTATTTGGGGAGTAAACAAACTGAAAATTGCACTTCCTGTTGTACTGGTCCACTAATGAACAGCTGAGCAGGGGTGAGAATCAGGCACATATTCTCACAAGCAAGCCTGCAGATACACACTTCCAATTGGAAACAATCACAACAAACAGGGACAGAGCACAGGTAAACACGTTTTATCTTATTTAAAATGATTTTAAAGTATATGTTTAACATGTTTAGGTCGTCTTTCTTCTCAGGAAGCCTTCTGCATTAACCAGCTGTCTCTGTCAATACTGTTTGTGTTTGCAAGACACCACCTTAAGGCTGCAGACTGCTGGATAACTAGCCTTAGCTGCCCGGCAGGGACTAACAAAATCAAGTAGATTCCACACACAGTTAACCTGAGTTCCATGTTTTCATATCTCATAGTGAGATGTAACCTCTCGTCAACGAACACAGATTGTGTGCAGAATCTTTTGCAGCCTATCCCTTTGTAAAGCAGCCTCTGAATTGACTATGTGATAATCGCAGTCAGCAAATTATCACAAGTCACAACAGTCCTTTAAACTGTGGCTGCCACATGGACAGTGAGTATTAAATTCAAAATGTACGAGACTTTTGTGATTTCACACGGCTAATATAACCTGCTATTACAGATGTTATTTAAACATAGGCTAACCTTTATATGTATGTTGTGTTAACAGTTACCACAAAGTAAACAGTTTAGATATTATGGAGCCTTCTCTAAACTGTACAACACATACACACATGATTTAGCACAGATTGACAGACTTTTACTAAGAAAATGTACCAGAAAAAAATATTTGTCTCAGGATTTGAAGAATGCGTAATCATATCAAGATTTAGATCGAGCAAATTTTTTGTTGATTTTTAAAATTTTATTAATTGCACCTTATGTTTAATACGCATTAACTTCCTAATTAAATGAAAATTGCATCAGTTAACAAACTGTGAATACAATGGGTATTATAGTGAGCAGGTGGTCACTGCTTACACACATATACCTGTACCCATAAAGCACAGATGCAAAGCAACCCCAAAATATGTAAATCATTTCCCCATCCTTCCAGCAGTCTGTATTGAACCTGTAGTGCTACATTCTCCTGACATCTCTTTGCATTCTGGATTTGTGTTGCTGCTGCGCTGTGGGCTTATTTAACTTGCATAAAAGTCTGAGCTGTCTTTATTGCACATGAGAATACTTGTAAATTTAAACAGGTACAGATGTTTGGATGTTTGACTGAATACTGTTTAGAAAATAAATGTTTTTTTTTCTTTTACTGAAAGCTGCTGAAGGGCCAAGATTAAATGTGTCTGTCATTTAGATTTGATGCCCTCCCCCCTCTTTTTAAAATTTTTTCTACTGCTGACTTATTTCATTGTATTTACCTACTTTCCTTCTTTAATGAACTTATCACTTCAGCACCACTAAATCGCTTCATGCAATACAAACAGTCATCCTCAAAATGATAAAATAACATAGATTGGACCTGTTCTTCTGACATAATCTCAACAATATATGGATTTCATTAGCCTGTCTGTGTTGACGCCACAGTTTCTGCCCCCTGCATGTACTCACAGATGTCTTCATTTAGAACTCCCTTGAAAATAGAAAATTCACTCCCACAATTCCCCACTGTCACATATACCAAAATACCTTCCTTGTGTGATGTAATCTTTGCTCTTTTGTTTACTGCTAGACAGGATTACAGTGATTTGACGGACTCCTTATGCCCGGTAAAAATATATATCAGATTACAATCTTTTAGTTCTATTAGGTCTTAAATTTATTCCATTTTAGATACCCAGTGTTTTTTTATTTATTTATTTTTTCGCTGCATTTCCTGACTCAGCTGTCAGATAACACCTAAAAAGGCAGCCGTTTGAGAATACAGATTCCCAGACACATTTTGAGGCGATCTACCACTTGCACATCTGATTTCTCACTTAATTGTCGTCATTAAAGCCTGCTGGGTTTGCTGAACAGCTCTGATCAGCTGCCAACTGAAACATACACACAGCATAGAGCGTCCAGATAGACGGTATTGTGGCATCAAAGGTTTATGTTCTCTCGCCGACTATATATATTTAAACTGAAATTTGGAACCTGCATGTCTAAATGTGTGATTATCTTTAACGTGATAGACTTTGTTTTGTTCTCATTAAAGCTGTTTGTAAACAGGTCTACTGCCTGTTCTTCGTGTGCACTAATTTTCCCACTGGAGGTCACCAAAGCACTATGCACCATAATCCAATAATTTCCTTGCCCGAAGATGAGTGCAGAGACTTTAGCTGTTTTTAAAAAAAAAATATTTTCAGTGTAAAGGCAAAGCTCAGAATGTCTAAGGACACTGTTTGGCATTAACCAGCTTGGCTTTTTAAACCCTATTATTTAGAGGTTTTCTGGGTTAGGGACATGGGTGGTTGGTAGTTATCTTGCCAAACAAAAGTTAAAACACAGCTGAGAGAAGATTATTTTCTCTCTCCTTTATTATGTAGAGTTTGGCCTAGAGATATGCTACATCTGATTTCAAATGTTTTGATATCGCCATTTCTTCACCCCCTCCAGTACAGTCGTCATCATCAGATCATCATTTGAGACGACCTGTATGTTTACTGTGACCAAACCCATTTTATGTGCTGCTGAGTGTATCAAAGTCATAACATTGAGTGTACTCATTTGAGTTTTGTTTCAAAAGTATAGTACAACCTGTACACACAAAGAAAAGTCACATTCACTTTATGATTCCAGGAACATGTTATGCATGTGTCTCTGTAATTTAGTCAACCATGTAGTTTGTTATAAAAATATAGTGCATGTTGCATCAATATAAGCCACTGTTTTGAACAATATATACCATGCAGTGATACGTGATGTTCCTAACTGCTCTACCTGCCAAATTGTGTCATTTGCATTTGAAAAATGGTGGTACGCTATAAAGCTTGATACCACAGCCAAGAAATTCAGTTTCCTTTTTGAGTAAAGGTCAGACTTGGAAGTGGTTTAATTTGATATTTCTCTTCTCTGGCCCTGCAGAGATTCATCACAACAAACCTTGAGTTTGAGCAGTGGAAAGTTTTAAAAGGATGGAAAAATAAAAATGTTGCTAGCCTTTCATGCTTCCCTTACCACATATCTTATGGATTAATAGCTATGGCAACTCATCATACTTTCCATTAGTAGCAAGTTGCTGTGGTGGTCTGCTTACTTAACTTCTTTCAGTTTCAGATTTGGAGTGAGCCACTGTTGCAAGTCTGTTTGGGTATAAGCAGGATTTTTTGGTGGGTAGAATGACCTCATCCAGAGCACATTTGACTGGCGGCAGCATAGAGCTTTAGCTGTAGAGAATTAACAGGATGTTCTAATTACTAACTAATAATGGACTAATTGCTTTTATGTTATGTCAGGCACCATTTTTTTGAAAGTGGCTGCTTCTTGATTTCATTGATTTACATGTCTGTATGTCTCCACACACACACACACACACACGCACGCACGCACGCACGCACGCACGCACGCACGCACGCACGCACACACACACACACACACACACACACACACAGATTTACCAGTTTGTTTTCAATTTGCTGTACCTACTTTTGTGACACAGCTGATGTTGTTTTCAGCTGCATTGCATTGATTTCCGCAATATGTTTGAGATATTCCATCTGCATGCTGTTTATAGTGGATAAACACAGAAACACCTTTAAGTGAAAACAGTACAGTACAACAGTCAACCTTAAAATATCCTCTGACTTTAATCAACAACTCTTTGGCATTGTGCTGACAACAACTGAACAGTATAATTTAGCTGATTGTTGCGAATACATTATGGCTGCCATGAAGCTGGGGAAGCCATTTGCCTCATGCCAGTGGCTGAGTGTGTGACAGTGTTTAAAGGTTCACTGTGAGAGCCTGACATGCTGTTACTTTAGGGCACTTAAATGAAATGCAGTGGAACTGTCTGGAGGTAATTATAACATTCTACCAATCTAAAGCATACATATAGAGGTTTGACAAATGTAAAACATAAAACATTGCTCAATCTTATTGCACTTGTAAAATATAGAAAGTCATCATTGACTTGAACATTTTTTTTCCGTGACACAGTCCAGTGATATATTGTCACAACCTGCTGATGTGGCAGATGGAATGTTGTATACATTAGCTTAGCGAGAGGGCATGAGAATGACGGGTCTCAGCAATTGCAGGCGAGTTCCTTTTTGATATTTATCAAAGACCACTTGTATTGTTGCTGGAGGGGGTGGCGAATATGAGTGTACCCCAATTACTCCAGCACAGTAGTGCTAGATGAGCTCCACTCATCTGTCACGCCTCTGCAGCCGTCTCCTCCCACCTCCGCTGATACTTAAGCTTTCTGATTTTGCCTAAGCTCTTGCTGACTGTGGTTTCTTTGAGCCACTAGACTAAATGTTCATGTTGTGCGCCTGATCATCACCTTCTTTGAAACACATGAATGGATTTTGTTCTGAGAGCTGCAATAAGATTAAAGATTCTCTTAAGCCCAGTATCCGCATACAGAAATAACAGTAACCTTTTTTGGAGATGGGTCCAAAAATGGCAATTTTTCTTTTTAATGTCCTAGCAGTCTGTCCTTAGCAAGGCTGATACCGTGTTTGATTTTATTAGTATTCATCATTACTGTGTGAACTGGTAAGCTGTCACACTGTTGTTCTTAGACAGCTGGAGAAATAATAGTGTTTTTCCTGTACCAGATAGGCCCCACAGATTTAACTCTTCAGCACATATGACCTTCAAATCTAAACACAAACCTCCTCTCCCTCTCTCTAAATGTAAACATCTAACCCAAATTTGTTGCTGTTGTTTAGATCTAAACCTTAATTGGCAGGTCCAACACGTTCACTGCTACGTGTCTGGCTACTTTCTTTCTCAACTTTCACTTTAAATTTACGGATTCTATTTTGGATTAAGCAGTGCTTAACCATGCGGTATATTGTCATGCACATATACTGTTGGTCCAACTAATATTTCAAAACCTTGTCCTGAATTCTTTAGCAACTCAGAGGCACGGTGGTCCAGTGGTGATTGCTGTCACATCACAGCAAGAGGGTTCTGGGTTTGAACCTGCCGGTTGGCTGGGGACTATCTGTGTGGAGTTAGCATGTTCTCCCTGTCCTTGTGTAGGTTTTCTCCCTGGACTGTGGGGCTTTCTTCCACAGTCCAAGGACATGCATGGTGGGTTAACTGATGATTCTAAATTGTGAGTGTGCATGGTTGTCTGTCTCTTTGTGTTAGCCTAGTGATGGACTGGCGATATGTCCAGGTGGGATAGGCTCCAGTCATCCGTGACCCTCTCCTGGATAAAGTGGACATAGCTAATGGATGGGTGGATGGATGGTTGACAACGCACTGTCAAGTTTACATTCACTATCCTTGTCAGAAAGACAAGGAGCTTTTCTACATGTTGACATTGCTTGAAATTTAAGTCAATATTGTGTACACATTGCTAATACAGTCATTGGTGCCTATGCCTCTTCTTTTCCTTTCGTGGCATAAAAACTGCTGGTCTGTTCCTTTTTTAACTTTCCTTAACTTCTTCCCATCTTCCTCACCCAACTATTCGTGCTGATACAGATAAAAGCTTCAATGTTTCAGCAGTTAAAATTCAATTCAGTCCCTGGTAGGAGCAGCCTGCCTAGCTTGGATAGATATTCCTGACAGCAGTGTTCAGATAATGCAAATTTTCTGCTTTCACATGCCCAGTCTTCCTACACAGCCGTATGACTTTTGGCCTCTTACTTATTGCCATTGCATTGTCACTCATCAGTCCTCTTAGAAATAATTCAGTTAGAAGCAAGCTGTTGTGTTGGATTATTCAATGTATTGTTCCAGTGTCAGATATGAAGTCGGCTCTATTTGCTCTATTTAGAAATATTCAAAACTTTTCTAGTGGGTAGACTGAGGTCAACTCTGGCAGCAGCTTTCAGCTCATGAGAGCTTTAGTTGAGACAAGAATGTTATAGCTTATTAATGACCTACTAAAAATCTTGTTGCTTAAGCATTGTAAGTTAAAGTCTCCGCAGTGCCAGAGGATGTATGAATTTGAAATCAAGATACATTTGGATTTTATGAGCTATACTCTTAAATTATGAGCAATCATACCTGTCTTTTTTTTTTTTTTGTCCAGTAGCAGCTGCAGTTTGCCAGCTTACCAGCTCGCCTTTTTCATTCTATTGTTTCTGTCACATCTCTTTGACATGCTTGAAAATCCGTTTTATTTGTTAAATGGAAATTCACTCTGCTTCATCAGTACATCATTACTCACCTGTCCTTTTCCCCCTGTCTTCTCCTGCAGAATGAAAGAGGGCAGTGTCCAGCCGACGTGGTGCCCGATCCCCTCGACATGCCCTTGGAGATGGCAGATGCAGCTGCCATGGCCAAAGAGCTCCGGACTTTGCTGAGACAAGCTTTACCCAGGCCCAGCTCCCCTCTGCCCCTGACTCTGCAAGCCCAGTCCCTCCCTGGTCTCTCTGATAAGGCCAGGATACAGCTTGCTTCCATGGGAATCCGACTGGGTGACCGTGTGGTGATAGCTGGACAGAAGGTGTGTTGGGGGTATTCTATTGGATTCAAGTCGGGCAACATACTAGGCAAGGTCATATTATTATTATTTTTTTAATTTTTCCTTCTTTAGAGACTCTTCTGTAATTTCCTTTGGATTGTTGCTGCTGGAATATTCTTCTGCCAGGCTTCTGCAGACTGGAATTCATCTTGTCAGCCAATATTTTTGTATATCCACAGATGTTCATGGTGCTCTCTATAAATATCATCTCGCCGAGACCCTTTTGTACTCATTCAGCCCCATATTGTTATACTCCCACCTCAGTGATTCACTGTCAAGATTAATCATTCACTGTGGTAGTTCTGACAAGGTTCACACCAAATATGCTGGACCCTTATCTGGACGAACTAATTTGTCTTGATATCTGATCAAAGAATGTGCTCCTACTTTTTAATCAGGCTTCTTTGAATGTTCTTTAGAAAGTTAAATCTTGCAGTTTAGTGTGGAAGACACTGACATTTTTTTATGGATGCTGTCCATAGAGGTTGATGTGTCTTGTATGCAGTACCTGCCTGTCAGTTAGATTGTACAAGTAATGGACTCTCTGTCGTGTCATTTTAGGAGGACTACCAGTGCGGCTCTGATTAGTGTCTTGCTAAGTCCTAAATACTGCTGCAACTTGACTGATTTTTAATCTGACTGATCTTCCTGTATCGTTTTCTATCTGGTTAAGTCTCACAATGTGGAAGAGTGATACAGAGAGAAAGTTCAAAAACATTTTAAAACCATGTTCTTGCAGTTAGAGTAATTGTGAATAACGAGTATGCTAAAATTTTTATTGCTTTTTCACTTTTGTTCCGAGTTTCAGCTTTAGGACCTGAATTTTCTGTATCGTATTTCTAAATTTCATCGGGGGAAAATGCTTTACTTGTCAACTTAAAAATAGTGCCTCAGTTATTTAGAGGTAAAACAATTGGAATCATTTGTCATATAGGTGATATTGCACAGAGTTATGCTCACTTCTGTTGTGTACTGCATTTCACCCACACCCACTTACAAGTGTGAAAGTAAAATCAGTCAGTCAATCTTAACAGATATTGTCAGCTGTGCATCTGTACTCACATCACATCTGAGCCATACAGCCATACAGTGGTGCACTGGTTTATCCTAACCAAAGACAAAGGCTTTGGTTCCATTTTCTACAATTATTCCAACCATCAACCAAGAAAACATAATTTCCAGTTGCTAAGCAACACCCTTTTGGCATCCGTCCAACATTCACCGTTATGTCTGTCAGTTTTTTCTGGCATCTCATCAACATCTGTCTGAGCATGTTTAAGTTCAACTGACTCCAGTTAAAATTCTGTTAATGTCTGGTAATAATATTAGAAGCTTTAAAAATGATCATGCTCATCCTCTGTTCCTGTGGGTCATAAACACTTACTATTGATCGACTCTTGCACAATCTGTTTTGTGCTAAGTCAGCATAGTGCTCTAAGTTATGTTGGTTGAGTCCTTTGTAGTAGTGAAAATGTGTAATGAGCTCAAGTGTCCTAAGGTGATAAATCAAGTGTAAGCAAAGTCATACACTGATATCATCACATACCAGAACAATTATAAGCCGTTATGCAAAGTCTCTTGAGTAGTGACAGTGATGAATAATAAATGTATTTGTTGATAATTAAGAAATTACAGTTTGCATTTAGGCTCCTTTATAGCAAACAGCTCACCCTTTTTGCTACAAGTTGTGTTGTAGCTTGTCTACATATTTTTGTGGTGCTAAAGACAGGTGTTCTTTCAGCTTTTGCTGCTGGTAGTTTATTTATTTTTATTTTTTAAAAATTGCAGCAACATTCTTCTCATTCATTTTTATTTATTTATCCCAGATTTCTTATTCAGATTAAAATATATTAGTATTAGAAGTATTTTTGATCACCCTGACCACTCGGCTTTAGCGAGGTGGTGCCAGCCATGTGTAATCCTTTTGACATGAAGCACATTTTGGAAGTGGTGGAATTTTAGCTCCATAGGTTAAATAAAATTCCGTTTTCAAACTATGTTCATGGCACAATTCAGCTTTGACAGCTTGTTACATGGTGCCTCTGCTCCCAAAGTTAACAAGAACTCCAGAATCCTGTGCTTTTTATTTGTACTTTGTGTTTGAATTTTGTGTGCCTTCAGTCATTAGACTGGCAACATAGGCGCACTTCACCCTGAACTGAATCTACTGTACTGTGACCTAGCAAAGCAGGTAAAAGAGACATCCAGTACTGCGCCATCGGCACAAAATCGTCTGACTCTTTTATGTCAGTCAAAGGCTCTTCAACATCACTAATACTGAGAAATGGCTTTTTCCATCTTTCTTCTACAGTCACAAATTTATGCCTGTTAGAGCTCCGTTTTGTACTTCTGGTACTACTACCAGTTGTCACGTAATGGTACCTTTGCTAAATGTCTTTGTCCCCATTCCAAGAGAGTGTAGAGTGATACAGATGCATGATAATTACCAGAATAATAAAGAATAACAGATAATTATATTGATTTCAATCCTTAGAGGTAGGTATGCCTGTTCTGTATAGCAGTCACAGACCATTTGTGTTGTAATACATGACTTTATAGTTGACATTGTGGTACATGATTTCTAAGTCTCCGGTTGAAATTGTATTTAATTACCTCTAATATGCTTTGCACTTTATTCATGCATTCCTTATAATAGTACCCCAATACTTGGTTGAAAGCAGTAAAATTTACACAGCTATTTTGCCGTGACATCTTTACCCTTTGCCCTAAATTCATGTATACAGCTCAGTATTAAAACTTAGAAATTTGTCTCAAGGGTCTTACAATCTAGATTACATCATACAATACCCTTTATCTGTAGACCTCCTCATATCCCCTTAATGAGGGAAAAAACTTGTGTGCTTTTATTCTTTCAGCCTTTCTGCTAAACAAATTTGCGTTTTGTTTTTCTCGACTCTTATAAGATCAAATCAGATTTGTAATCATTGTAAAATAACTCCACTTTAATGACAGACAGATCCTGAAAATTGACTCTAATTAGAACTTATTAGATCACGAGTTTCTACTCTTGGGTATAGGAGTTTTTTCATTTGAATGGAGCCTTAAAATAGCACAATTTAAAGAAATAACACGATGAAAGCAGAGAGCAATACAGTGTGCTATAAAACACAATCATTTTCAGCTTCCCTCTAAATACCATTTATATGGGTATCAGGTGCATGATAATGTAATGACATGTCCATCTGCACCTAATGTATGGCAGGAAAAAAGAGATTGTGATGAACACTTGTCTCACATTTCTTAGTGGATACACACTCAGCTTTAGTGTATGCATACTGAAAGAAAACTGCTGGTCACCATCAGAAGGCCGTGGTTTTTTCATGTAATTAGGGCCCTTAAAATCCCCCCCACACAGAAGTGATTGTGTTTCATGTGATTGTAGTCTGTGGTGTGTGCTGCAGTGTGCACTTGCTTGAAGGCCATACCAGGCCAGCCTATGTCTCTGTTTGCATAGACCTAAACGGAGACATGGGGTGACATAAAGAAATACTAATTCTAGCAGACCCAGACATTTTCTCTAAAAGAATGAGTCACTAATTGTGTTTTGTGCCACACTGAGAGGAGCATCACTGTGTGCCAGGTTGTAGAGCTTGGCTAATCAAAATTTGTATCCTCCTTTCACTTTCTGGCTCAGTTTCAGACTTTCTCCTATTTGTCTGTGCTGCTACTTTAGTGGACATACTCGTAGACATATTAAAATCTTGCTGAATTTCTGATTGGGGTTCTGCCCTTGACACAATGCATGGCATGAAGATGAAATTCCTTCACACAGCACTTAACATGCTGACCAGTTCTTTTGCTGCATGTCTGCTTTTCGGGTTTTGACTTTCTGTGGTGCATAAATGTGTGTGCGCAGGCCGGAACCCTGCGATTCTGTGGCAGTACGGAGTTCTCTGGAGGACTGTGGGCTGGAGTGGAACTGGACAAACCAGAAGGGAAGAATGATGGCTCGGTAGCAGGGGTTCAATATTTCACCTGTCGAATCAAACATGGTAGGTCATGCCACAGTGCTTGAAGAGCAAACACACTGACTCAACCCCCACCTTCTCCCTCAGTTCATTTAAAAACTCTCATTGACTAAAGGACTTAATGGTCCCGTCACTTTTTCAGTAGTATCTCATCTAACCCCAGGAAATCACATTTGCCCCTCCTGTCAGTTGTCAGTAATTTTTTTTCGCTTGTTTCATGCAATGTGTGTTATACAGTTTTCTTTATTTTTCTTATCAATTCTGTATGTCTTGGTGTATGACTTCTGTATACGTACAAACCGTATTCCTATGCTTTTTTTTCATAGGGATTTTTGCTCCCCTGTCCAAGATAAGCAAACCTTCAGAAAGGCATAAAACCAGCACCACGAAGACGTCCACACCCATACGCCCCTCTCGTCGCATTGACCTGTCCCGCATTACTTCCAAGATTAACACAGGTAAAGAACAAGTGGTGCATGTCCTACTGTTTAGTCAGGAAATGTATTTAATGGTATTCAGTCAAGTTCTACAAAGCATTCGTATGATTGACATTTGACAAGAACTATGACTGCTCAGAGAGCTTTGGCGAGCTGACACGGGTCCATCTGGCTCTGTTCTCATGACTGAAGCTGTACTCAGGTCCTGTCAGGTCCACTGAACATTGCAACAAGGTCAGCGTGAGTCTCAAAAGTATTCGAGAGAACAGGCTTACCTGAGAATCCCAAATTTGCTGTGATAAAAAAGACTTGCATTGATCAATTCACAACATAAACTGCACAGACAGTGAACATAAATAGGCCTCAAGGACAGAGAAATGTGTGAACTTTTGTGAGTGCAGGAAAAATAAGATGTCACATAGACAGGTGTTTCCTTGTGTCACTGGTAATCTCACGTCTAATCCCTGGAGAAGACCAAGGATACATTGTAAAAACTACACATCATATAAAAAATTTCAAGAGACCTGTACCAACCTTACAAAGGCTAAGCAACAGAATGACGGCTCTACTTCCATTAATGGCTTTCTAACATTGTTTGCTGAAGAAGTGTTGAAGTACTCACACTTGAGGGCATTTAGGAGACACAGTGAGCTTAGAGGGCTAGTATCAACAGAACCAGAGGCCTGTGCTCGTCCATATTCTTGGGTTTGAAAATGACTAAACGAAAAGTTGTTGATGATAATAGCCCCCCCGGCACATACAGGGTGATATTCTGGTGATCATCTGCTTCCTCTCTCTGTGTCTGTAATACAACTAATATCATTATCATGCACAGTAAAATATAATGCTTTATGTTTAACAAAACATTATGTTTGACATTTCTGAAGTAGGGCTACTACCACCTACCTTGGATTGACTCTAAGCATTTATTGACTTATTTTGAAGCATGAAGGATCCAGGGTGAAAAAAGCTATGTCAGAAGTACTAAGAATTTTATTTATACAGCACTTTTCAAGCTGTAGCACAAAGGTGCTTTGCAGGTTAAAGGATTTACAAAATACTAAATGTAAAACCAGGGCCCCATATCTGCCAAGCCTTTAAGACATACAACATGTAGGAACATGAGAGCTGACCATCAACCTCACAGAGCCCAAACATAAATGTGGAAGTGCAAGTGCACAACAAAAGAAGACATTTTGTAAAAGTAAAATTGGGTAAAAAAGCTAAATGCATATAAAGCATCTCAAATTCAGGTAATTTAGGAAATTATAATGCAAACCAAAAAAAAACAATATTAAAGGTAATATACAAATAACAAATGATTTCATGTAAAACACAGAATACTGACAAAAGAACAAAGTCAGAATTTTTAAGGGAGATAAATGTCAAATATATTAGAATAGATATAGAAAAAACAGGTATGATGACTACTAAGTGAGAACAAGTAACCTTTGTCGTGACAAAGTAAATGAAATAAGTCAAATGAAACTAAACATCATAACATGAAAAGCAAACCTAAAAGTTCTGTGCAAATGGAAAAGAGAGACGTTGTTGAACATGTAGAAGAGATTTTTATGTTTTTAAGGAGACTCTTAAAAGCTACAGTGGAGTCTGCCAAGTCAAGCTGAGCTGGAAGCTGCACAGTCACTTGTGGGTTTCAGTCTGGTCAGTGGAGCAGCTAAGTGTTAGTGCCCTGAAAGGGGCAGCAAGGGGTTAAAAGCATGCCTGACTTCTTCTGTCATTAGTAGTGAAACTTATCTCAGAGATGTTTCCTAGCTGTTGAAAGCAAGCTTGGACGATATTTCTAGTAAAAGGATAAGTGGCTATTCCAAGGGTCTTTGCCACAAACCTAACATTGGTACTAAGTGAACCGAAGGACAACTGTATCTGTAGTTTGATGTTCTGGACCAAAGATCACAACCTAAAACCTATTAAATTGTAAGAAGTTAGCTGCTGTCCAGTTCTTGACATTGGATAGACAAGAATGCAGTCTGGCTAGATTGCTCATTTTATGTGGTTTCAACACATGTGGTGTGACAGGATGTTGTATTGCTGAATGTACAGAGACAAGAAAAGGGCCTTATGAGTAGATCCTTTGGGCTGGTCCACAGGTGATGCTTGCTGTTGAAGATATAACATCCTGGTTGGAGACAAATAATATCTTTTTTTCCAGATAAGAAGAGGATCACTCCAGTGCAACTCCAGTAATTCCTGCCAGTTTCCTTTTGTCTTGTCTTTTAATCACATTTTTGTGCTCTGTGGTGTCAAAGGCTGCCCTAAAGTTTAGCAGCACTAAGACGGAGCATGTTCACAGTCTGCTGCAGTCATGAGTCACTTGTCACATGAGGGAGATGTTGTGTGTACCTTAGAGTGTAAACCACTCTGGTTGTTGTTTTCAGTTATGTTGTTTCTTAGTGCTTCTGGAATATTTTTAAGATATATTACAATTTAGAAATAGTTTCGTATGTTAGCCAGATCCAGTGTTGGCCCTTTCTGAACACATGCCATCGTAAAGGTAAAAATTTGAGGAGAGTCTTCCAACATTATAACCCAGTCCTCTAAATATCTCTGAATGTTATTTGTACTCCGATTGTTTAAACTTGACATGCTTTTGGTGCACAGTTGATCATGAGAGGTCGTCCCTGTTGTGTAACGTAAATATTTTAGAACATTGCTACATTGCCAAAGTTGTTGTTTCCACTGCTGTTGATCTGACAAATAACAAAACAAGTCAAATATTACAGTGCCTGTTAATTAAATACCTGTGTTGACCTTGTTTGTAGTAATCAAATAAAATCATTGTTGCTGTAATAATGGTATTTTTTGTTGGCACACAGTGCTTTTAGATGCTAAAATGGATGCCTGTACTGACAGTTTTCATTCTGACACAGCAGACTTCTAGCTTACTATGGAACAGGGTCATTTCAGTGTTCAGATGAATCCATCAGGTGGAGTCGTGACTCGAGCTTTTGTGCTAAAAAGAGGCTTTCTAAAGTTTCCTATCCTGTATGGGCTATGTCACTGCATAGCAGGATTTATTGCACCTGTACTTTCATATTAATCTTTCTTGAATACTTTGAAAAGTGTATTCTGAACCAGTGCCAACAGACAATGAATAAATTAGACTGCTGACAAGACCTTGCTCTCACAGTCCTTGGATGCCCATATCCTCAGCTCCTGACTAATGACGGCTACAGTCCAGTCACTTCCGAACACTGTACAAACCTTGTCTTGGTATGTTTTTTGTGGTTCTTGCCACCTTTATCTTTATTGTGCTGGTGATATATTTAAAGGTTTTGAAGGCCAATTGATCTGGGCGTTACTGGAGTAGTGGACCTCAGGAAGGCCTGTGGAAGTCAGTGATTGATAGTCCAATTAAGCAGGGTTTAATAACTAGGGCATAGACAGGCTGAATAACCTGGCAGCCATTCATCACAAGGTGTGTGTGTGTGTTTATGTGTGGCATGTAATGCATGTAGGGGCTTGTGTGTCTGCCCCTCTATACAACCCAAGAACTAGACTAATTTATGACCAAACACCTTTTCACGGCTTTTGTGAGCCTCGGACAGCCCAAACTCTCGAGCCACCTGTGTTTTACTGTCCCATTGGATCAGCAGTGCAGACAGCTTGCTTGTGTTTATCTATAGATTTGATGGGTCATTGTGGAACTGTCTCGTCTCACTAACCAGGAGAGACAGACACAGCAGAATGCCAGGCTGGCCCCTATTAGAGAGTGTCAACTGTAACTCAGGCCTCAAAGGATGGTGAAAACATAGACAGCCTCACAAAGCACGGCGGCTTGATTCATAAAGCCTCAGTGTGTGCTACAGTCTGCCACTTGAACTGAACGTCAGTCTGTGGAAGGGATAGATAGAGCCAGGAGGTCCCTGCAAGCTAAAGGTCAAGTGACAAGAAATGTTTGGTATTCTGCAGTAGAATTTAGTCTCCTCTTTGGAGTTCAAAGGAAAGAGACAACTCCGGCTCTGAGGGGAGCGTTTCCCAGCTCCCTCTAAATGTGAACTGAAATGGCAATCGATAAATACCACGACGGTTTGAAATTTTTCTAACACCTTTTCGAAGAGCAATATAATATTTAAACTTTACAGACCTGTTAATGACTTAAGAGTGGTTTTAGACAGTTTATGTGGCAGATTAATGCGTGTATTTGAATCCTCATTTTTATGTTTTCCGCAAATCTGCTTAGATATATGGATGTTAATTTTAATGTATATTGAAGAACGGACTCTGAAAAGGCTTTTGTCAGTTTAATGGAAGATTTAATTCAAGCCATAAACAATATATATATTTAAATTATCAAGTTTTGTCGCCGTAAACTAGTTAAAGAACACAATTGTGTTTACTTCTGCTGGAAGCGTTATTTATCATCGCGTGCCGCTTGAGTCAGTACTGAGATTTCTTTTGAAGTACTTTTGTGTTCACTGTCACCAGGGCTTTTGTGTGCATGTAACTGCTTGTCTCAGCATATTTAAGCGTTTTCATTGTGTGTTTCAGTAATTCTTGTTTCAATTCTACTCGACAACGTCATGCTTTCCTTTATTTGCATTTTTCACTCTGCTGCTCTTGTTTCATCTTTTTAGTGCAGCTTTTTTTTTGGTCCTTGCCTTTAACTCTGCCATGTTTGGAGTGCTACACTGTGCGTCTTCTTAATTTCCTCATTTGTGATTCTCTTTGTTTCTCCTAACTTGATGGACATAAACTCTGTTTTCACTTATTGGATCCACATTTGGATACTTCTTTTTTGCTCTAGGTGACTATTTTACATGCAAACCACTTCATTTACGTTCAAATTATTTCACTGTGTATGTTCAGTTGTTGATAATCAGAATGCTCAGGCAGTTCTTAAACAAATGCAGCATGGCACCAATAGAAATTATACTGACATAGTTTAGTTAATTTAGTCATTCAAACTACACAATCTTAATACAATTTCCTAGTTGTCAACATGACTTTTATTTATCAGTCTTAAAATCTGATGAGTATTGCTCTGTGTGTTAAACAGACGTCACTGTCTCTCTCTTGTGTGTGTGTGTGGAAAGGTTTATCTCTCTCTGTTAAAAAAACACCCGATAATCAAAAAAGCCCTCCTGGTCCCAATCAAGACACAGAGGGAGACACCTCAGTCATAACGACAGGTACTGCAGGTATAGTTGAGCCGGTTGTAACAGAGTTTGTTTCAGCGAATGTGGTGTGGGAATGTGTTTGGACTATTTAGTATCATCTTTTGTTGGTCTTTTGAAATCCTAGTTCCTCACCCTTGTCTGATAGTTAGTTCACCTTAATACCTGAATCCAACATTTCAGTCCATCTGTGGGCAGTTCAACAGTAACAGTCTTTTCAAACAAAGTTCCTCATAAATCAGACTGATACTTTGATAAGTTACTGTTTATCCTGCATTAGTCATGCATTCGTTTGAAGCATAATTAGATGGTAAAAATAGATTGGATTGAGGAATGCCTTTTCATCCGCAACAAAATATCGAGCAGAATTCCATATAAAGGCATTTAACAAATTATGTGTCTCAGTTGCCGCCCAAACGATTTCAGTGCACCTTGGCATTGATTCTCCAAGCCTCTGGAACTGTACTGAAGGGAGAAACACTATTCTGCAAAACATATTTCCTCATTTGGTGTTTTAAAGTTGGCACTAACACACAGGTCTAAAATCCTCCATTGGTATTCTATTGGGTTGAGATTTAGTGACTGTAACAGCCAGCATATGATTCACATAATTTTCATTGAACTGTGACCCTGAAAGAGACCACTCTTTATGGCAGAAATGTTTTATCATAGGATGAAGGTGATTACTCATGGAGGGAACTATGTACTGATTTACAGTTGCCCCTCCCTTTAAGGGGACAGGTGGACCTAAACCATACAACATAACCACTGGATCCAGTCACTGCAGGGATCAAGGGTTCAGATTTTACTTGTAATTTGTCGCCTGTCTGTAGTGTCCAAGTATAGTCTTTGTGCATGAAACCTAAACTACTCTAATCCAGATAGAAAAGATAGAATCAGCAGCCTCAACTGTTATGTCTATACATTGCCATCTGCTGTTAGGAACCCATTAGCCAAGGCTTACAATTGAAAACAACTTTTTGGCAAAGCCTGAGAAGTTTCTCGCCCATCACTATCTGCGTTTCAATTTGTTTGTTGCTGAATCTCCCCTTTTTCTTAAAGCACTTTGGCGCAGATTTAATCAATTAGCCTCCAAGAGTTGGACGCTTAATGAACTTATGGCCTGTGAAGGTCTGTGAAAGTTAAAAGCTTAATGAGGTCCGCTGTTCAGATCGCTTCTTAAGAGTGAAATTGGTCATCCTCCCGCTTCATCTCATTCCCTCAAGTTGGTCGAGGATCAGCATGCTGGCCTTTAGTTGGACCTCAGTAATGGTACACCTAAAAGAATGAGCTCGCTTGATTTGTGCTGCCTCAGAATGATGTGACACAACTGCTTGGATTTCTGAAAAGTGTAGCGGTAATTGTCTGGCTCCTGATGCTGTAGGCACCGTCACACTTAGAGGGATAAAACGGAAAATGAATAATAGACTGAGCTCCATTATTTCAATGGCATTACAAGAGTTCCTGATATTGACCTAAATGGATGGATGGTGGATTCAGTATTAAGAGTTGAGGCACACATTTGGTGCTGTGTGATTTTTTTTAGACAGCAGAATGGCTAACAAGATTCACAGATATCCCAGCCTAGTGTGTGTACTTAGCAAAGTTTTATTAATTTAAAGTTTTGGCTTTGTGATCTGTTTTGGTCACTTGGCTTGTAGGTTTCTTTTCTCAATGACCCATTCCTGCCTCTGCATCCTTCACACTGCAGGTGTCCTCTCCCGCTCTCTCTCCTCTTCGTCCTCTTCGCTGGACTCTCGTCATGGGCCGGGTGCCCGACCTCGTCCACTGCTAAGACAACGGCTCCCTCCCAGGCAGCGACGAGAGCGCGTTTCCCCGAGTCCCAGAACGACGCCCTCACCGGCCCTTCGCTCTTCTTCAGGCACCACAGCAGCACTAACTACTGCAGGTCTCACTATTACATGTTTCATACTGCATGGTCTTAACAGTGACTGAATGATTTTTGTGTCATTTTGCACATTATCCAATCGTCTTTGTTCATCTCTCTCCCAGATCTTCGAAGCCGAACTCCCTCAGGTAGTAGCTCCGTATGCGAGGGCTCTGAGGTGCGAATAGGGGAGAGGGTCCTGGTGGTGGGTCAGAGAACTGGTGTCGTCCAATTCTGCGGAAAGACCAGCTTTGCTCCAGGTCAGTTGTCACATGCTTCTGTCAATAAGATGAGAACATTCTTCAGCTCAATATATCTAAAAACATGCAAGCTAAAGTCTTCTGAAAGTAGTATGTTTTAAACTCCTGGGAAATGCTCATTAAACTCACATTTTCAAGAATAATGTCAATATTATTTTTGTCTTATTGCAGCTATTCTGCCAATTAGATTGTCTGACTTTTCTGTGCTAAAATTCCTCCAGTCCAGTTGAATAGATTCTTGTACTATTCATAGCAAGCACAGATAGTGATTCAGTAGGTTTAAGAGCATACTTCAGAGAATGTGTTTAGGGTTCAATAGATTAAAGCAGGAGGGTTCAAGGAGACTAAACTCAAGAAAAGGTTCAAACAAATCAGTTTGGTATACCACACCTTGAGTTTAGGAAAAACCTGAACAAAAAACTTCAAAGCCTATCTAAAATATTCATTGTCCTTTAATAAATTATGTCTGTCTTTACTTTGCTGTTTTTAGAGCTGACATAAAGAATTGGCTTTACTACAGTTTTCTTTAATGTTCCTGAACAAATCCTAATCCTTTTAGTCGGGCAGTAAGCTGGAGAGCTAGAGGTTTCTGTCCAAATACATTCTGATGATTTCACAGCTCAGGTAACCTTGTCCTGATCATAGAACTGAAAGAAGCCTTTGAGTCTTTAAAGAAAATAAAAATTCATGAATTAGGTCCCTCAAGAAACATAACCAAAGAAAGTTGGTGGTCTTGATTCTCAACTTGCTATCAAAAAGACATATTGTTCATATCAAGGTTAAGTTTTTCTCTTTGGTTCCGCAAAAGTCCAGCCCTATTAAATAGCATGAATAAATGATCTGGTTTAAGGAGAGGTAGTGTTGTATTTCTATAGGGAGCTGCTGCGAACTTTTGAGAGATCATCTTCTATTGATTTGTTGTAAGAAATGTCAAGACTTTCAGCATATTTGTTAAACTTCTGTGCAGTATCATGGGTCATTGTGGACAAAGACCAACAGTGAAGCTCTGCTAAGCTCGTCTCTTTCATCTTGCATGAACTCCATTACATACTCAAGTTACTGCAGTGGAAAACCTTAAGATACGTGGAAAAAATTTGATTTAAAAAAAAAAAAAAAAGCTGCTGCTGAGCAAAAGCCATTGAAACCGAAACAGAAAACAGCTCGCAGTATTCATTAATATTCACGCAGTCGTTCTGCCCGGGCATCAGTCATGTATGAATAAATAGTAATGTATCTTGCACCACTGAGAATCACGTTTGAAGGGATTTCAGTCTTAAGTTCCCTTTGATACTCTTAAATCAGTGTTAGCAATGCTCTGTTATCTCAGCCTCAGTGAGAACTGTACCTTTATACCAAATGCAAAAGTAGCTCTTCTTGCTGAAAACTTCACAGTAAAGTGGCTGCTTTTGAACATTCTGTCTATATCTTAATTTGGCACTTGTAAGGTGTCTGAAAGTAGTCATAAAGAGAAAGGAAGAGGATGCTCAGAATTTTGCCTAACATCGTTTTTTGGGCAATGACTGAAAGTTAAAGAGCTAAACAGTTATTTATGCAGGGAGCTACCTAAGAGTGAGAGCCACACGGTTTAAAGCCGGCTGTGCTGAATTGAGATGTAAGCCAAAGACAGGCTGACACGGAAAGATGAAAAGGCTGTACTGTAGCACAGCGTTGTTGGTTGAAGTCTGAGTCTGGAGAAACATTGTCCATATTTAGCCAGTTAACATGTTTGGATACTTAACGTGGAGATAATCTCTACACATGTTTGGATACTGCATTTTCTATGCATTACAAAAGGTGAATTGAAAAAATTTGAAAAGATAACTGTTTTTAAAAAAAAAACAATTATTCATGCTTGAGGTGGTTTCAGAATTTTTCAAAAAAGAGCTGCACATAATAGAAACACTTTTATTTCAAATAAGTTCTGATGTAGCAAACATTTCACATGGCTGATCAGCTGTTTCTTCTTGTTTCATTCTTGTTGCCTCCGGATAGTATGAAACAGCCGATACCGACTGAGATGAAAGCAGACTTACTAGATTTCGCTCCAATTTTCTCTCAAAGTTTTGTTCATTTCCTCCTCGGGGTATCTTGGCAGTTAAAAAAAAATAGTTTTGTCTGCGACTTCTTCGGCTCTGTTTATCACAGCCACGCATACAGTAGCTTATATTGCCATCGTCTGATGACACAAATTTCCATCCGTCCATCCGTCCATCCATCCATCCATCCATCCATCCATTGTCTGTACACTGCTTATTCCTCACTAGGGTCGTGGGGGGCTGGAGTCTATCCCAGCTGACTCAGGGTGAAGGCAGGGGACACCCTGGACAGGTCACCAGTCTATCACAGGGATACGCTTAGAGACAGACAACCAAGCACACTCACATTCACACCTCAGGACAATTTAGAATCACCAATTAACCTCAACATGTTTTTGGACTGTGTGGGAAGAAGCCGGAGAACCTGGAGAGAACCCATGCTGCACGGGGAGAACATAGAGACTCCACCAGAATAATCCCGGGTGTCCTCACTGGGATGCAAACTGGCAAAATGATCTTTACATGACATTGCATTGATCTTTTTTAATTATTTTTTTCAACATTTCAGAAGTTCACTTCAAATTTGTTAGATATGTAAACACAAGTACTGAATTTGACAAAAGTGTATCAGAGTCACTTACTCCACCTTAAATATCAGCACAGTGAAATGGGAATTCTAAGTGTATCATGGCCATTTACAGGTGAGCTAAATTTCCATTTAGGAAACTTATCTGTAACTCGTACCACCCTTTTTGAAGGTGATTGCTCTGCTGTATACAGCTTGGTTTGTCTATCCAGCAAGCGTTTTATTTTATGCTAACACATCTAAGTTGCCAACTTTGAAGAGTGTATTTGATTTCTGGTCTGTCTTTCTGTCCGTGCAGGACTCTGGTTGGGCATTGAATTGGACAAGCCAAGCGGTAAAAACGACGGCTCAGTGGGAGGAGTGAGATACTTCAGCTGCCCACCAAAACATGGAGTCTTTGCTCCTCCATCTCGTGTTCAAAGGTGAGTGCAGGCTCCTTAAGGTAGCTTCAGTTTCCCCACTGATGATTAATGGTCCCTTTTGGTTTTTGCCAGTGGTTATCCACAGAAGTAAAAACAGATTTGTCAAACAAGTCTCTGTAATAAATTCTTTAAAGTTCAGAGCATATTTGACAATATGAATTGGACAATACGCCCTGAAAACCCTGAGGTTGCATTTCATTGCCCTCATCAATACATCAGATGGCACTAATGAGTTCTTCTGACAGTGTCATTTGTGTGAGCGCTGACATATTTGATTTTGCCCTCTGTGCGGCAACCAGTGCTCCTCTGTACTGCTGATTAACTAGAGTCAGAGTTGTCAAACGTGAAGCCTGAAGCCATTGCGCAGCATGACTTCTCAATTTAATGTGGCACCTGGTAATGAGCCAGACGCCATCATCACCGCCTTTAAATATGGATTATAGATAATGAGTGTGCGAGGGAGGTAATATTTAAACAACACGGTATGGAATATGTCAATAGGACGGTACCGTAAAATGTTGCTTTGCAATTTAGGTGAATAATTGATTTTTTCTCTATTGATATGTTCTCACTGGTTTGCTTCATATTATATTGTTGAGACTACAAGTGAGCTGCAAATGTAAAACATAAATCACCAGTTTGGCTGCCAGTGGGTCATGTTAGTAATGTTTTATATTCTAATGCAGTGATGAGAAGTTAAAGATATGAATGATTCAAACTTGCTGTTGTTTTATTCCCTGAAGGCATAGAAGACAGACCGATTAGCACAAAAGCTGTGGTTGTGTTGAGTTAAATAAATTAATAATGATAAAAGATCAAAATATTTCCAATAAAAAATGACAAGACCTTTCTGTAAACAGTCTCTGACATTGAAGCATGTAGGCCATACATGGCTCAGGTGCAGCATCCAAGAATTGGAAACTCTGCAGTGAAGTAATAAAGGGTCAGGTGTGCTGTGTAATGTATGTCTTTCAAATTCAGCCCTGTGCCAGTGTGTGGACAGAGATGGGAAAAAAAAACAATTTTTGCTTTCTGCTCTAGACACTTGGAACACCAGGCTAAATTCAAGACTATTATAAACTGTATGAGAAATGGTTCTTTTACCAATTGGCTTTGGTTTTATCTTGTTTCAGCTTCAATAATTCAGACTAATTTTCTTTGAACCTTCATGTATTGTTATGTTGTTTTAATATTTTTATTATTTGATGTCATGAAAACCTGTAATGCTGCCATCCTGGCTAGACTTCAATTAAAAAATGAGATTCAATAAAGGTTGAATTAGTTCTTCATTTGTCTCCAAGACTTAGTACAATATCTGCAGTGCTTTAGTCTTCATCTTTCTATAACTAGAAATAGGTTTTGGAACAGTTTTTACTCTTGAATTAAATAAGCGATATGTTAGTATAATTTTTGATAAATATGTTTTAATTTGCCAGGATGTTTATATGCATGTAGCTATAATTGAGTTAATTGATGCCCCTGAATATTTCTGGTATAATCGCAGCAACTTAATTTCAAGTCAAGTGTCTGAAATTTGGATTAATAGCCAATTTATTTTGTGTTGACCTGGGGTAAAGTGATACTGAAGCAGTATTTTGAATTCAATTCTGATAGAGACACAACATGCACACTGGTCCATTTCAGACACGTGAGACTCCAGTCAAAATATCCTCTCAGCTAAAATACACTTGTCTCTTGAGGTGTCTAATCAGGCTCTGAGAAAGCTCTCGGGTGTGTGCAGTCATGTCTAGTCATGCATTGAGGCTTGTACCCCCTTGCTAAACATACAATTACAATAAACCTAATAGCGTGCAGAGCCAGAAAGCAGAAAACTTGAATTACATGTTTTAGAATTCAGCCATGGTGTATGTAATAATATGTATGTATACAAGTCAAGAATTTATTTGCCATGACCTGAGTTTGAGAAAACTGACAGTTCAAAGTGCCCTAAAAAATATTAATCGACTTGTGAATGCATTTTCCACAGTTGGTACGTTATAATTTCTACTTGAAAGTTCAGTTGAAAACAGCAAAGCTAAATCTTGTTTTGATTTCCAAACAGATGAGATGTTTTCTTGGTTTTGTAGTTTCATTAGATGTGCATATTACACAGTAGATCCTAAACCACCGCTGTGGAGAGTAATATTAGATCCCTGTTTTGGAAATGTAAAACGTTAGATGAGAAAAAATATATATTGAAAAGTGCACTTTGCTTTGCCTAATAACCGCTCTGGTGCAGAGATGTGGCCCACCATGGACTGCTGCCAGCTGTATTGGCTGCATGTGAAACATACAGATGCGTGACAGTTTGAACGAAAATATATTCTGTTAGGGTAAAAACAAAAGAGCTTTAGATCTTCTTGGAATATATTTTAAATTTTTTTTAACCTCTACTTAAACAATGAACAACATTCTTATGAAAGATATTCCTCAATTTGGTGTTTTGATGGTGATGATGGAGTGCTGCCAGAATCTCCCAGCTGTGTTGAATTTGGTTGAGATGTGGTGACTGTGATATTTTATACTGCATGTCTCATGAAGGGTCACATAAGCTTCCATTATACACAGCTTTTAGCTAAGCTACAGTGCTGTGAAAAAGATACAGACATCGTTTGTTTTTGCACATTTGTCAAATTTAAATGTATCCGATAGTCGAACTAATTTTAATACAAGACAAAAATAACCCCAGAAAACACAAAATGCAGTTTTTTAAAAATTATTTCATTCACGGAAGGAAAATGCTGTCCAGCCTCACCTTATTCTAGCTGAAATACCCTCTTTGCTACCAATCTACAAAATTAACAAATTAATGTGGCAATTGGGTTCAGTTTTGCCAACCACATAGACATATGATAACTGCCAGACTTGTTGAATCTAAACATCACTTAAATAGAGGCTGTCTGGTGTTGTGAAGTAGCTAACGGGTCTCAAAAAGATGAAGAGATTCAAGAACAGATGTGACACAAAGTCATCGTCACAGGTGGAACTTTTTGGAAGACATGGATCGGTTGAATCTGGTGTGAAGCTAATACTGCATTCCACAAGAAGAAGCATATACCAGCAGTGAAACCTGGTGGTGGTGGTGGATGGTTTAAGGTTGCTCTGCTTCCACAGGACCTGGATGACTTGTCATATTAAATGGAGCCATGAATTCTGCTCTCTATCAGAAAATCCTGCTGGAGAATATCCACCATCAGTCTTCAAGCTCAACACAAATGGGTTGTGCAGCATGACAATGACCTGAAGCACATCAGCAGGTCCACCTCTGAAAGGCTCAAAAAGAACTAAATTAAGGTTTTGGAGTGACCGAGTCAATGTCTGGACTTGAATCCAATTCAGATGCTGTGGCGAGACCTTGAAAGGGCAGTTCATTCCAAAAACCATCTAGTATGGCCGAAGCAAAGCTATCCTGCAGAGAACAATGGGCCGAAATTCCTCTATGACGATGGAAAAGACTGAGCACAAGCTATCGCAAACGTTTAACTTGTTGCTGCCAACGGTGGCCCTGACCAGTTGTTATGTTTTGTGGACTATCGCTGTCTAATATCAACTAAATCGTAACATTAGTTTGGTGATCTGGAACTTTCAAGTGTGAGAAATATTCAAAAATAGAAGACATCAGGAAGGGAGCAAATACTTTTTCAGACCACTGTATACACAAGCCGTTTAATTTTTCATTGTCGGACATCATTTCGGTTCTACTTCACATTTTTTGCAAATGGATAAAAACTGTTGACCTTTTTTTTATTAGATGGCACACTAATGGCACAACGCCTCGAGTGTTTAATGTGTGTCATAACTGAATAAAAGCCATTATAGTTTAAAAAGCAGTTGACATCTAAAGTACCAAATGTGTGTTTGTAAAGGCGAGAGGTTCACCAGAATTGAAGGACTGCTGGTTAAATTAACACATTCCACCTTTATTTCAAAACGTAATTAGTCTCCTTCCTTCGCCACTTGTGCTTCATCTCGATGCAGATCCACGTCTTCCTCCTCTTTATTTTCTTGTTTCTCTTTTTTTTCTCCTCAAACTCCTGTTTATGTCTTCCATGAGATAAAAGCTGCTTTTTGGGAAGTCAGCTCCTGTGTTTTCTTGCCATCCCTTATTCATGTCCTTTTTGTTTCTTTCTTTTTTCTTCTTTCTAATTAAACCTAGGGTACAGGGCGTACTCAGCAGAGCACACACTTCCCTGCTGTCTATTGACGAATATCACCCTCTCTCCATCCAGGAGCCTGCTTCTCCTTCTCTTTTCTTTTCCTGTCAGCAGCTATCACAACCCATTAGGAAAACAAACGCCCCACCCTCCCACACACACTTTGTTTTTGTTTCTCTACCCCTCTATTCACGTCTCTTAGAAAACAAAAAAAAAAAAAGCCTTTTCCTCTTTTGCTCATTTCTCAACATTGGCACGCCTGATAGCTTCCAGAGTTCTAATGTAATTATTAGCGTTGTATAGTAGCTTAAGAAAACGTCAATAAGCAGGTGAGGCGCCCTTGTGCAGGCAGGTCTTTATTTTCATTCAAGCTGTTTACAGAGAAGATGCCATCAACAGAAGCAGACCCAGTCTCCTCAGTGCAAGCTGCTATTTAATTAATTTTTCAAAGTAGACATTGTAATCTATATTGCTGACTGAAACAAACTCTGAATCAGTGTCTACAGAGGTTTTGCGGCGTGCATTGTCTAATTCTGTAAAACCTCAGTGAGGACACTTACAGGTTTCTTTTTTTTTACTCACAGGATCCATGGATCTGTTGATTGCCTGTCAGAGCTCACCTCCTCACGCCTCAGTCATCCTTTCAGCGGTGAGAATTCTGCCTTTATTGCAAGCTTTGACTGAGATTTATTTGAAATGTGTCTTGGCATTTATTATTCCGTGAGTGCTTGTGAAGTCATTCTTATGCAAGTGTCTCAGTGGGAGCACTTGACTCTTATGATTGCTGTGCAGGGACAATTCGTCGCAGTTTCAGCACATCATCGGCCATCGCCACTGCGAAGGAGACGAGCAGAAGAAGCACTGTTTCCAGGTGTGTCTCTCTTTTTTAACATCCCTCACATTTTTTCCATCACTCCCCCCCCCACAAGCTTTTCAGTTTCATCCTAATCCCCTGCAGCAGTGACAGAATCAATACTGATAAGAAGCAGTGGTATTAGTCAGCAAAAGGTTCCTTTTTTTAAATGGCCAATGCATGATTGTGGGTATAATGAAAGAGAGCAGGGAATTGCAGATCAATCCCTCAAACACCAAGCTCCCATGAATCTCCTACTTACTTTTGATGTATTCTTTCACACTGCATAGCTTTTCTAATAAATCTTTCTTGCTTTTTTTTTTTTTTTTACTGTTACGAACAAACAAAACCAAACAAACATAAAAAAAAAGGAGTCGTTCCAATCCTCACCGTCGACGCTGGAGCACCCTCAGCGGCGGTAGTGGCAGTGTTCCCGGAAGCACTGCAGGGTCCAGTCCCTCTCCCAGCACTGACGGACAGGTCCGCCTCCATGTGGGCATGCAGGTCCTCCTGAGCAGTGCCAATGAGATGGCATTCATCCGGTACCTGGGCACGGCAGACTTTGCCCCGGGCCTTTGGCTGGGTCTGGAGCTGCGAAGCCCCAAGGGCAAGAACGACGGCTCCGTGGGCGGGCGCCGCTACTTCACCTGTCGGCCGGGCCACGGTGTGCTGGTCCGTCCCAGCCGCGTCACCTATCGTGGCATTAACGGTGCCCGCTTGGTGAATGAAAACAGCTAAGGCCTCGAGGCAGCGGAAGGGGGTGGGTGGGTTTTAACCTTGTGTTTATGATGCACTTAAAGCAAAAGTTTTAAGTTTAAGCTTCTTCATCTTTTTGCATTAACGATTTTCTCATTCATATACTTAGTCCTCTGTACTACTCAGAGGTGTTGTGAGTTACAGGAATAAAACCACTTACTAAGTATGTTTTTTTTTTTTTTAATATAGGTGACAAAAAGCACTTTATGAAGTTTAAATTCTTACAAAAAACTTGTTTTGGCAGGGTAGGGGAGGGGGTCTTAATTAGACATAAAACACTGCACTACTTTTAATCTGATTGCACTGATAAAACATCAATATGATAGATTAGAATAAGATAAAGTGGATGATATAGATGTGCACACATGCAAAAATATTTTCTATACCTAAAGCTAATTTCGATTACATCAAGTGAGATTGTGTGCCCACCAGCCAGGACACAGGAGGAGGGGATGTGGGAGGAGATGTTTTCAGAGTCTGGACACATGCACTGCAGCACCCAACCGCCCAGCGGCTGCTCTGTCTCAGAACTGTTCTTCAGTCTATCACGTTTTCAGTCCATGTCGATCTCTGCCACGCTCACAGCACCATGCTCTGTTAAAGGCCTGGACATTTTGGAGGCGGGTGAGCTGCCAGAGCCTCCCTCGTGTTTCCGTTTCTTGCCTCTGCTTCTTGCGGCTGCTGAGTTCATGTGTTGGAGGTACGGCAGTGCGCTGGGAAAGGCCCGGGAGACAGCTGCAGACTCTGCTCCTCCACCTCCGGCATCTTCCGCTAATGTAGTCTACTTTCTAACCAAAAGTGTGCATGTGTTTATGCGAGAGTGTACGCATGCATGTGTATGTTAATTAAAGCACTTTGAAACAGGAGAGACTGATTTTTACCAGGGTAGTCTTATGACTTACAGATAATTGACGGATGTTTAATCAAAACTGGATTTTCACTTTATAACTCTATGAGAATTAAGTAGGATTTAATTAAACTTAGACCTCCATCAACCTCCTTTAAAGTATAACTGCACCAGACGTTGTTTCCTCCTGTACATCAGTCTCTGTCACAGGCTGTCTATTAACTTGACACAGATGAATGATGGTGATATTGTGTCATGGCATAGCAAAAATACTACCTATTACCCGCTGGGATATGATTCCATTACAGCTTGCAACAGACTGACATTGTTGAGACAGTGATGGAATTTAGGCATAATATCACATCAAATAAGAAATTGACGGTTTGCTTCATAAGTACTTTAACTTCAGCTGGGAACACACTTGACGAGCGAAAGCCTCATTTTAAACCTGATTTGTCCACCGTGACAGATTTATTTATTTATTTTTTATTTTTTTACAGAATTGTGGAGAGTGCTGTTAGCTTCCCTGTGACTGATTGAGATTTCAAACCCTTTCTCCTTCTGGCTCAGCATTAGATCTGTCAGAGCTGTCGCTGTCACATTTTCGGTTTGCATTATAACCTGAATTTGGACTAATCTCATTGTGATTCGGCGCTTTACACCGGTTACTATTGTTCTGAATTGTGTAGTCGGCAAATGCCAGCCGCTAAATGTGTGAGGGGGTGTTTAGAGTTTAGAAGTCTTGTGTGTTCCCAGCTTTGGTAACGACCTTTCAGTAAAGTACGGTGTCACTGCATTTGTTGAAGGGCTTTGGATGGGTCATACTTGTATTTAATGCTTAATTAAAGCAGCTTGACGCCGGATATATGCAATCATCCAGAAGTTTTAAGAATAGAGTTTGCAATCTGATTAGAGCCGTCTGTGTAACTCGACAGAGAACAAGTCATTGATTGTGCATGTGGAAAACAGGTCCACTATTCAGTAAAACACTCATGCACCATCCAATTAGGGCGAGTAGGCCACAACAGTAGCTGTAGAATCTCCTGTGGCCTTCTCTCATTGATCTGTCTGGTCAGGCCCCCTGTGATTGAAAAGCAGTGGTGGTCAGAGCCCAAGGTTGTCTGAAATATCTGCCACAGATGAAATGAGTGAGGGGGGTAAAAGAGGTCTTTTTGAATTCTTATTGAAACATTTTCATTAACACATTTTTTTCTTAAAACAAATAGTTCAGTTACATTAAGGCCAGCTCTTGATGGTTTCTGTAACATCTGTAATTATTCCACATTTCAAATGTCATCTATAGATATCCTTATAGTTTGATGCTGCACGAGTGAGTCTTAAATTCACTGATGAAAGTCTTCTGGCTCTGGGTTCTTGTTGGTAATTTTTTTTTTATTTATGTATTTCCTGATATGTATATTGGAAGTGTGGGTGTGTGACAGAGGGCTTTGGTCTGATGCATTTACATGCTGAAAAAAACAAAACAGTATTTGTAAAAAAAAAATAAACAAAAGATTCTATTCCAATTTGACTTCTTTTGTCCGTGGCTCTAATTTCTTTCTTCTTCTTTTTTGTTGGCTGTGTGCTTTTATTGAGTGTGGTGGTTCTAATAACAAAGAGGTTTTCTTGACGTTCTTGGATTGTATATAAAAAGCAGAAGAGAGTTGTCTTTAGGGACTAAAAAAAAAAGAAACACCGCAAGCACTTTGAAATGGTTACATGTCTGTTCACCTACCACCCGATTCCACTGGGCCTCATCTCCGTCAAAGCTGAAAAAAGCCTGCTACAGGAGCAGCATTGTTTGCTTACCGCCAGCCTGGGCACAGAAATTCAAGTTTGAATAGAAATGACATACCCTATTATGCCATGATTGTGGAACAAATAGGTGTTTGAATGGTTGCTTAAAATTGTTTCTATACTTATTTTGCCTATTTTTGTAGTCCACACAGGAGAAAAAAGGGAAAGGATCCAGCGAAGCAGCATTTGTCTGTCCAAACTACTGACCAAGAGATTGATTCTAAGGTGAGATTAAGATGCAGTTATTGTAGCACGAGCAACTGTCTTCAAGCATAAATAGAAAAAGCTTTAATAGTGTCCCACACAAAGCATCTAAAGACATTTTAGGAATGACACCATAATGCTTTCTGTCATTCTTGTAATCCTCATATAGTTCACATAATATACAATTACTAATGGACAAGATGGGGACTGTTGTAGAACAGTCTCCACAACTAATGAGCTTAAACCTCAGAGATGTTTGCCAGCACCTTATCTAATGTCAGATTGTCAAACTAGAATACAAACAAAACAAACAAACCCAATGCAGTATCAAGATAATAAAGTGTTGGTTTGAAAGGGAAAAGAAAATTTGCTTTGGCTCAAAGAGGTTCAAGCAAAGTGTTGAGTGTCAGAGTTATAATTATGAGGTTCCAGCTTTTAAATAGCGGTCATGTCAACATCAAAGTCATAATTATTTTGGATATTTTAATATTCCATTTTAGTTGTTGTGAAATTTACCAGAGAAATCTCAAGTACATGAAAAACAAGCGTATGTGGTCGTCATACATCAGGCAAAGATGTCC